AAACGCCATCTGCCAGGACAGTCTGAGCAAAGCCCTGCCTCTTCTTCTTGAGTCATATGACAATTTGCCAGAGCATCTTTTGAGACCAACTGAAAGTCCTTCTTTGTGATCAAACTCTGCAGTACTTCTGGCCTGCTGAATCCTGTCTGCTGATTCTTAAACCCCCCTAAACTCTTCAGCTTCCTCACCTCTGTATTGTTACCAGCAAATTGAAATTAATTAAGTGTTTTGATTATTTTGTCTCACTTCTAAAGTTCAGTTGTATCCAAAAGTGTTCTCAGCTCCCTTGTCCTGTTGTCTGCTGTAAGTCTGCTGTAAGTCTGCTGTAAACTCATACACACACATAGCACACATATACAACTCTTAGAGAACAGGGCCTCCAGGCCAGCCATTTCTCCTGACTATAGAGGGCCAGTGAAATCAAATATCAGACCTTAATAACTACCACATGAACTGACTGAAAGCTGACAAGAAAATCATGGTACTAGCTCATGTATTTTTGTCAAAAGCCCCAGAATACACTTGACCGGTTTGGGCCACTGAGTTTGATTAGTGGAAACACCATTTTTCAAAACTATTCTAAGTATATGGTGAGGCGAGTGTCACAGACCTAACTCTAACTAATCCTACATGAGAGCCATCTGAGGCCTATAAGAGAAAATAATCTTTCAGATGTGTGGTTGAATAAGGACGACATGAAAGCCCTACAGTCATTTCATAACTTCAGGAGATTAAGAGACATCTGCATCCAGATCTTTGAGCTTGAAAACAGTCTACTTTGTATATTGTATGCAGGAAATAAACAGATTTTCATGTCTGTTCAGCTACTTTTATTTTTAGTGAAGTCTGTTGGCGACTGTATGTCAGTACAGACTAATTCCAAATAAACCCATAGGAAAACAGTCTGACATTTAGCTCATTAATAGTTCCAATTCTCTGTAACGCAATGTGATGAGATGGCAGTAGGCAATGTTTAAGCCATGCTTTGTTTACTCTGAAATGTGATGTTGCATCACTGATTAAAACTCAGCTCAATAAATCTTTTTTAAAAGCCCAATTACTATGACCTCATTGCAGCAGTCAGCTGTCACATGAAAACTTTACTCCTTTTTTCCTGCATCTTATAAAAGCTTACAACAAAAATGTAACCCTTGCTCACATGAAATGTCGAAGTTAATGCAAGTGACCCCCACAGTGCTGTATGATAGACTGGATAATTACATTCACAAGAGCTTACAGTGTATGGATTTGCAAACTTTCAGTACTTTACACAATGGGGTGCATCCTAAAGAATGTATTAACAATGCATTCTACAGTTAGTGTAAAGTCCTTTTGTTGAGTATAAAACAAAAATCAATCCCACTGCAAAGCCTGTTGTATAAGTTCTAAAGCGTATAGCCATTTATGTCTATAGCAGGGCATTTTATTGTTTGATGTTTTAGCAATAAAAAGGTTTTAATCCGAAAATAGCATGGATGTAATTATTTGCACCACAGCAACAATACCTAAGGGAGTGAAAATTGTGAGAGAATAAAATTCCCACACTGAAATCACATGACCACAAACCACATAAAATATCTGCAGTTTATCTACTCAAAAACAATAAAACAGTGCTTTAACTGGCAACATATAGTATTTCCTCTCTGTCTGTAGCCACCAGTGTATTGCAGCTTGGCTCTGGGTTTAAATCTCATAAGGATGTTGAAGAACACTTAACTTGAGATCGATAATGTTTCTGCCTCAGAGCCTGCGTTTGTGTCCCAGTGGATCCCAGGTCAGCTCACTGAAGTTCAGTGTGTCTCATCAGTATGCAACACAACACCACATATACATTACAAGTGTTTGGTCAGCTGCCTATGGGCAAGACAGACTCTGCTGCTTTATTCTATGGCTGTTTAGTCGAGCCAGACATTGAGCGTGGAACAAAGTTAGAGTGTGCTTCGATCTCATCGTTACAAACTGCGGTGTGCAGAGTCAGGTAAATTACCAGGAGCAATAGGATTACCAGCACTCATTGTAATGCACAATAGAATACTCAAGATCAGGAGCTCTTTATTAAGTCGCACCATTTAAAATCTGTTGTAACATCTGATAAATCCATTGTTTAAAATGTGTGTGCTTGCATTGTGCTGGTGCTATAAAAAGCACTCTAGCTTGTTTTACCAAGGAGTTAAGAATTCTTCATGAATGGTTTCTACTAATACATTTCATTCCTTCTCATTTATTTGCTAAAGTATTAGACTGAGATAAATCGCCCTGCCTCTCTGTTGTTGTTCCATAACTACTAACTTGGACATGGATCATCAGTAACTTCTCTCTCTCTCTCACACACAGCACACACACCACACACCCACACACACACACACACTTAGGCATATAGAAACACGGCAGTAACAACATGATTAATTGGGAAGGCTTTTTTGGGCATCGCTGTAGTTTACACTACAGTGCACAGCAGATGGAGGGAGTGGGAGGTAGAGGCTCTGAAAATGTTGTGGATCTAGAGGTTTCACAGGTGTACCAAAGACATTTACAATAGAGCAAGAAGGATTGAGGCTCCTTGTGTGCATGTGTGAGACTGCACATGGATGTGTGTGTTTCTATTTTTGCTGCCGGGCTAGTCAGCAGGCCTGTCTTGGTGAGTCAGGGTGTATGTGGTGACAGTGACATACAGACACACTGACAGAGGAGATGGAGGGTCAGCCCGGTGCATCCTGGGAAAGGTCTGGCAAGTGCATAGCTTGACACAAGTGGACCTGATTAGGTTGGGTTGTGCTTTGGTGCAGGTTAAAAACACTTTTCTGTAGGAGTGTCCCTGTGTGTTTGTGTTCATCTCAGCCTATGAATTTACCAGAGACTCCAAAATTTGCACCAATTTTTCACTCAAGTTGAAATGTTTTCAATTTGTGCAGACGCATCTTCAAGTTCTTGCCAACCAACTGCCCCCGGCATTACCATAGATCTTATGGTATCTTTAAGGGGACTATATGTAATATTGGGTACAGGGTAATTGACTACATATGGTGTAGGATAAACAGTACAAAATAATAAAATGTTATATAATTTATACAAGCAAACCTTCACAACACGGCTCTTTATTAGACAATAAGTGCAGTTTGAGCTTCTACCCAATGCAAAGAGGGGAAATAACTCTAATCTTAGTACCCTGACACTGTTAAGCCACATGCTTCCTCAGGGGTATTCGTTCTGCCATTTGATCTGATATTAAGTGAAACCGAAGTGTGAACCAGCTCCATCACAGAGATTCGCACATTGTCTTAAATAATGTGTCTCAACAGGGATTGTACCTGAAAATGGCTCGTACATCCTTCAATGCAACTATTCTCCTATCCTTTTTTTAATTGCTGTGCTGTGGCACGCTGTGTTGGGACAGATTCATCAGAGTCAACTGGCCTTGCTTGTTCTCTCACTCTCGCCTTCCTCTGTTTTCTCCCTCTGTTTATTTGGTTTTGTCTTTCTCTTCTCTTTTACCCTTCCGTTCTCATATATCTGCCTTTGACTTTCTCTGACTATGCAGTTTTGTGTAACATACTGTATGTGAATGCAGTGTCTCTTCTAAAGGGCAATGTAGGATATTTTATATTTCCTTTGCCACTGAAGAAAGAACAGCTATAACCTATAGGCTACAGTGTACATGGTACAGTTGGTGAAATCTCACACTGGATGTATATGCAGGCACTATGTAGGCACGCACAGGTCTCCTTGGTGACGATGTCAGTAACTTTATCTACAAGTATGCCTAGATTATACAGTAAGAGGTGTGTATAACATATGGGAATGTGTTAAAAACATGATGTCTGCATGTCCATATAACCATAACCACCATGTCCACATAAGAGGCTGAACCTGAACCTTTTTGTTACCTTAGAATGAGCCATTTGTATCTACAGAGGGAATGGGTCCTCATCCTCAGAGGCCAGCATATTTCTACAGTAGCCCAGAACAGACAAATCAAACACTACTATTTTATATATATATTATACATACTATTTTTTACATTTTTATAGTTTCTACTACACGCTTGGAAGGCTGAGCTATTTCAAATGGTTGCAATCTGCAACTGCACCACTAGATGCCACAAAATCCTTTGGTCTTACATTCTTCTGTACAGCATGCTTTACAACCTGTTTGACACAGATTTGCCTTATATAAGTTGTAGTCTACAACCTGGGTCCTGTGCATACTCACCGGCAAGGGGGCTATAACTATTTTAATATATGTCAGGTACTTAGTTTAGAGCAGAATTTAGCTGGCTATGCAGTTGTAACCAAAGTCCCAATTACTGGCTCATGTTTTGTTATGTATTCAGTGGCAGCCTTGTTGCCATGTACCTTATTGTTGCAGTTAAATATAAATAAAGACTTGATTAAAACAGGTTTATAATGAGTCTTTTGGGGCAGATGCAGCTTTATGCAGATGCAGCTTTTTGTACTGTAATTCATGACAAGGGCTGCCTTCCTTGCCTGCCTTCACCGTGGCTTTTCCTTTGCCTAAACCTTGTCTCAGTGCTTTTCCAGGTCTTTTTCTGCAGCAGAAATTTCTCAAAGCTTTCACAGGTGGCTGCTGCCTCGATATGAATATTTGATAGCCCTCATATATCTCCCTTGAGGGTAGTGAAATATTAAAACACTTTCTGGTGGCCGTTTTGACTTCTCAGAGGCTCTAAAAAATTTACTTCCTGATGAGAGGGAGAAAAAATAATTAGAATTTGACACAATATGTTTAAAATGCCTTCTTCTGTTTATAACATGTGATGTTTGCTGCTCTACCTGGGCAGAATGTAGATTTTGGATCTGAATGTTTATATATGCTCCATTGATCTGCTGGGGGTTCATTAACTGTGAATATGCAAATATTGGGATGGAGAGGAGGGGAACTGTAAAATTTAAGCTTCTATTTTTTTCTCTTTTCTTCTCTCTTTAATGTCCCTCAATAGCGTGTACATTATATGAATGTTTCTCATATTATTTATCTTTCAGCGCGATGCCAAGGGACAGTACCTGTTCGACCTCATTTGCCACCATCTCAACCTGCTGGAGAAAGACTACTTTGGCATTAGATATGTTGACCCAGACAAACAGAGGGTAAGTAGTAATTCTTAATAATATAATGTAATAATAACTAAATTTCTGTTGGATTTAATTCAGTTTAATCCAGTGATGTCGCTTTACCATGACTCATGGTTTGGTCTCTTTGCTTCTCTGTCATTTGTCAATTTTTCCACTTACAGTCGCCTGAGTTTACCTTCAATTAGTCATTTATCCCCTTGAATTAAAAACATATTCACACAACCTACACAATTTGCTTCTTTGAATCAGATGATAACTTCTGTTATCCCGTGCAATACATTTTAGGTTGTCTGAGGTAATACAGCATTGTGTATAACAGGCTAGACTCTTTTTTCAGGATGATACCATCATTCAAATGTAAGGGTCTGAGGGGACCCTATGAAGCTGATGCAAGGATAAGGAGCCATCTGTAGCCACTTTTATCTAGAAGGAACCTCTGTAGTTGTTCTGTACCAGTCAGTCTTTACCATCTCTACACTGTCTTTAGGTAACCAGCACATCATCAATTAAGTCTCACAGGCAGTGATGGATACTTTAAAAAATGCTGTTAGGTATAAATGCCAAGCCTTGCTGGGTTTTTTTTTCTCTTCCTGCATAAATATTCCAGTCAAGATGGTTGGCCTCCAGGTTAATTATGCAAGTTGGCAAAAGGCCAACCACTTTGATTGAAATGAATATCAATCACAGAATTTACACAGTCCTTGGTGAATTTGCAGGGCTTGGACTAAGTATTTGTTAATCACACACTTTTGAACTGGCGATGGGATTACACTTGTTTTCAAGGCTTGAAAATGTTGCATGTCATGCTGCATTTAATCAGCCAGCATCATTTTAAGAAAATGTAAATAAACAAATAAAATGTAGCTGTTGCTAACAAAAAAAAGAGTGTATAATTAAAAGCTAACAGCATCATTGTATTTTACAGTTACTGTATTGTGAGAACAGTGTCCTGTTTTTGTCAGCGTGTCATCATCTAACTGATTGGAGCCAGTTTCACCTCAGGATGTTTAACACTGACAGAAAGCAGCACACTCCTGATTATCTTCCAAACAGCTTTCTTTCATCTCCTCTCTGCATGGTGACTGTATTGGAGTGGGCCTAAATACACAGAAGACAAGGAGATACTGTGCCCTCCAGCTTTACAGTAGATTACAAGTCATCATGCTCTGCTGCTGAGCAATCAGACCCCAGACCGACAGTTTAGCAGCTAAAGACTCCAAAAGTTAAGGTCTTTACTTCTCTTTCTCTCCTTTTCAGCATTGGTTGGAGTTTACAAAGTCAATTGCCAAACAAATGAAATGTAAGTATTTCAGACCTGATAAGTTGGTTAAATCCAGTGTCCAAAGTTGACTAGAGTAATTGTATACTAAGAAAAATACACAAATCATGGAAACCACATTAAAACAATACATGACAATATATTTTATTTTTATTTTTTTATATTAGTTTGTCTTTCTTTCGCAGCCCAGCCTCCATTCACCATGTGTTTGCGTGTCAAGTTTTACCCACCTGACCCTGCTGCCCTAAAAGAGGAAATCACCAGGTAAGATTTCAAGATAGCTTGGTGGGCTGCAGGTGGAAAGTGTGGGATTGAGGGATTGGTGTAAGTTAAATTTTAGTCTGACAGTCTTTGCCTCTCAGGACTCTCTTTCTCTCCCACTAGTGAGGTTTTAATAGTGAGAGTAGTGACGTGTTTATGCCTTTTCAGTCATGGCCCTAACCCTAACATTATAGTCAAAACTATATCACTAGTCATGTCTCCCCTAAAATATTTTGTTAGAGAGGCGGCTTGGTCCGGGAGTGTAATACTATTCTGTAGGGTATATAGGCTACAATATAGTATAGAATTGAAGATTTCTATCATGTAGTTTAGAGAATATTATAGATCTAAGATGAAACTGACAGAAAGGCAAAGACTGTGATAAAAAAAGGCGTAGGGGCAGCTTCACAGATATATCCATACACAGCACAGTCAGGCTGCTGATATTTCAGAGCCATAGATTGTAACTTGCACAAACTTCAGGATCGACGTGTCAGGCAGGCTACATACATAACATATTCAACCAAACAGTCTCTCTGCTAAAGGATGGAAAGAGAGTTAGCAGGTTAATAAGGGGGATGCATTTTGATAATTTAGCTAACAATGGGGATGGTATCACCCCTCACCCCCCCTCAAATTTCCTACTTATGCATGGGTCACAAGTATTGCATCTCCTTAAAGTCAGAGCTTGAATGGTGCAAATTTGGCACCAGTATTTCCAAGGGGCTGAGTAAGCACACAGTTTTCTGAATCAAACATGTAATAACATCCAAATATCTTTTTTCGAACTTTTCCACAGAAACCTTCCAAATCCTTCTGATATTGCATTACCTGTGTTATTACAGCTCTGGTTATTCATTTCAGCCTCCTGTTGCTTTATTTGACGACTGACTAGTAGTATCAAAAATAATGTGGAAAAAGTGGTCTCTATTTTAAAACCAAAATTAAACACAGGTGACCTATAGACAATTACTCATCTCTCTTTTTTGGAAGTAATAACCACAGTGTAAAAATGCTGACACAGAGCAAACCTGAATAAAAAGCATAAAAATTACCCTCCATAGCCCTGATTTTATTGAACCAAAGGGGATGTCTCTGTCTTCTGCCCTTCTATTCACTTCCTTGTCTCATAAAATCAGATACATTTATTATTTTATGCCCCTCCAGCCTGCTTTTAGATAATTGAAAAATTAAGAAGCGAACTGGAGCTTAGTAAAGGGTTTCAAGAATAATATTTGCTTTCATCTGAACTGAGAGTCCTTTCAGTACATACATCTTAAATCTGTAGCAGCCCTTATTTTATTGCCTTAAAAACCGGCAAATTAAATCGTTTTATTATAGTTTTTCATTGTAAAGTTGAAGGTGAAAATATGTTTTCAACTTGTTTTCTTTATTATTGAGTGTAAAAGAAGACCTTATGAGTAATCTCAAGCACAACATTTAAAATCTTAATTTAAATTGAGTAATGAAAAGGCATGTATTGATGCAGGCACAAAAGAAAAACCCCAGTGAGCCCGTGTGCAGGAGGATTTTTGTGGGGTTTTTTGTAAGCTGCAGTGTCATGAAGCTCCTCGCCATTACTGTACTGTGTGGCATCCTTGACAGCTGAACAAACTGCTGCGAGGAGTGAGCCAGAGAGCTTCCGAGCGCACAGATCCCTGTAAATACATCACATCCCTTGACTGGTTGCCACGCAGTGAAATCTCTTATTGGCAATCCAGCTCTTCTTGATGGAGCAGAGCGCCGGCAAGGGAGAGCTCCTCCATCCTCCGCCATCTGTTCTGACTGGAAAGCTTTCACAGACACACACATACATAGCAGAAAAGCAAAAACATGAAAGGTAACATTTTGCATAAATTTATTTGCTGTTAGCTGTTCAATTTCTTTATATATAATTTCACAACAGGTGGTGGCAGCAATTATTAGTGACTAGACAGCCTTACTAAAGTCCCACAGTGCAGCTTCATGAATTGCTAGCAGCTGCAGGTTGAGACTGTTAAGCTAACCATAAACACACTTTGGGGAAATGATGCACAAATTCTAACTTAACATGTAAAAACATATAATTTACATTACAGGCATCAGGTCGTAACTTGAGCATCCTCTAATGTCAAAAGTCTTACAACCCTGACATTTTTCGTAGCAATGCTTTGTACTGCTATACTATTTATTGCTTTGCTGCTTTGAGAGAAGCTGAGTCACAGTCATTTGAAATGAATGCGGGGCAGGAAAACTGACACATAAGTAATCTTTGGATGCTGTGGACGAGAGTTGATTGAGTTGCTCTCTGTGGACTTGTGCGAACCAGCAGTCCAATTTTAAATCATTGTCAATTCTCAAAATGATTATGCTTTAGCTCAAGTTCTGCCTCGAGGGTAGGCTGCATATCCCGTGTCTAATGTCCCGGCAGAAAACCTTGGATTGCCAATCATGCATTCATTTCTTTTTTTTCTAAATTGTAATTATAGAGGATTAATCTTACTGACTTTGATTATTCCCTGACTTTTCCTCTAGCGCCACCAGCAGGTCAAAGTTTTCACTTATCCTGCAAAATATCCCAACATCTACTGGAGTGGCATGAAATTTGGTAAATTCATGATGTCCAGATTATAATTCCTAATGACTTTGGTGATTCCCTGATTGTCTTCTAAACTGTAAACATTCACCATGTGTGTTGCCAAGAAAGGGAATGTCTGTTTATATCCTATCTAAATAATTACCCGAATCAGTTTCTCTGTGTTCCACTCCACAGATATCTTGTCTTCCTGCAGGTTAAGAGGGATCTCTACCATGGTCGCCTCCTGTGTAAGACATCAGATGCTGCTCTGTTGGCTGCCTACATATTACAAGGTATGACAACATTGGCAGTTGTCATTTGCTGTAAATAACAGTATTTCCCCACCAGAGGTGTGTCAACCACATATGATTGTGTATAATATTCATGTTTGTGACCTTTTGAATTTAAAATTAAAATTTTAATATTCCTAAACACAGTAAACAACTATTTACACACAATTACTTCTTAAAAAAGGGATTCAATGGAAAAGTTGGTATGTTTCTCTTTGGGAAAATATGAAGTGTTTGCAAGGTGTCTTTGGGTGTCAGGCTCATCAACATTCGGAGAAGTGAGTTGTATTGAGAAACAGTTTCACTATTACACATCGTACCAACCAGCTATCCTACCAACCATTTCTCAGCCAATCCTTGAATGCAATGTTCTTGGGTGTCTCTGTATGGCCTAAACACCACAAGACAGTGCGTCAATAAATTGGCAGACACCGTCTTGGATACTGGCTTGTTTATTATAGCAATCTATGCAGGGTTATATCTAATTCAATAAATAAATCTATTTATATAAAATAATTTGGTTGAACAGTAAAATAGAGTATATACTATTATAAATCAGAGGCTGCCTGAGCCTTCCCTTTCTGTAAAGCATTTCGTCTCTGGCTTATAATAAGCACTGTTTGACTTCATGTAAAAAAAATGTGAATCCATAATGTCCAAATTGTATGTTTAGCTACCTAAAATATATTTTTCAACTGCAATTGCTGCCTGATCAGTTCAGTGCCCCCCAGAGATCAGGAAACTTGCCAAACCCTGCTCTGCCATCTTGTACTTGATGGTACAAACACGCCACCTGAATGACAGAGATGTGGAGATAAGGTTAAACATTGGCAAAGAGCTATTGATGCGCTCAAGTATAAAGTAACTCAAACAATACATTTCAAAGTTCCAACACTCCAATAAATCACTGACAGCAGGTATTTAACTCTAAAATAAGTTATGTGGATGTGGTCAGTTTGAGTTCTGAGTGTTGAGTCCCTGCTAACCAGCTCTGCACCATTCAGGATGTTTAATAATTGATGCTTTTGTGTGTGCCTTTATTTCGTGTGCAGGTGAATTCAAAACCTTGACTTCTTGGTATTTGCCTTGTGTATTCTCCAACTTATAGTGTGGGTGTCTTTCTTTTTCTCTTTTTGCTGAGGCAGTATCTTTGACCACAATGCACTACAGTGCTAACTTTGTTTTAATCAAAACAACCACATTCAACGAGTAAAGTGGCAAAATGCCCTTGGTAAAGTAATTGATAGAAAGATATAATGTAATGAATTTGGTTTTAAGAAATTATTGAAATAGTGTTCAACAATGTTTGAAAAATATGAGTTTCATGATTGCAGCTACTTTTTACTCAGCCTATGAATCTTCTGCCCACCCAACACTTGTTAGGTATGCATCACATATTATTTAAATGTTCCCTACTAGAACTAGTACTTGCAGTCAGTGACAACTATAATGTTTGGAAAAGCAATTACATTTGAAATTGTCTAAGCAGATTAAAAAGTCGCCATCAAACACGAAAGTTAACATTTCCTTTGCTGTGTCTTTTTTCCCATTTCCCAGCTGAAATTGGTGACTACGACCCCGGGAAACACCCAGAGGGCTACAGCTCCAAGTTCCAGTTCTTCCCTAAGCATTCAGAGAAGTTGGAGCGGCGGATTGCTGACATCCACAAGACTGAGCTGATGTAAGGTGACACCTGTCCATGTCCCTGTGTCCCTGTGTACCTGTGTTCACTTCCATAGCAGCCACAGTGCCGGCATCACGAAAGCACATAAGAGATAAGAGATAAGAGAGATTTTATTTGTCACATGCACAGTTATACATAGTACAATGCACAGTGAAATGCTTCTTTGTACTTGCAGCCAGTAGATAAAACAAATACTACCTACAGTAAAAGAAACCAGTAAGTGATTTGCCACAGACGAACACAAGGTAAACATATAAGCGTAAGGTATAAAACTAAGAGAAAAATCAATAAAAATTATTATACTGTTAAATAAATATTAAATAGTATCTGTAAATTACTTTAAAATAGACCTGTAACTCCAAAAGTGGTAAAACTTAGCAAGGGGTAGCTCAAAATATATACCACACAAAATTTAACCAGTATTGAAGCAAGCTATGTGAGTAAAGTTACAGTGGTGGCAGTTGTTTTTTTTTTTTTTTAAGTCCGGTTAAGCTCAGAGTTGAGCACGGGCGGAATGGGCTATGTGGGATAGGAAACCTCCTTCTTCAGGGCCTCTCAGTCCTTTGTCCCTCAGGCATCCGGAAACGCCGACCTGTGCAGTAGATGAGGAAGAAAGTGTGTCCAGGGTGACTGGGCTGTTTGAGGATCTCTTCGCCCTTAACCCTGCAACGTTGTGTAAACTGTCCCTTGCAGGTTGGGGAGGAGGGGGTTTTGATGGTCCGCTATTGCAGACCGGACCACCATTTTGATGGCCATGAAGTCCTGCCGTGGTGCAGGTTGTCCCATCCAGGTGGTATGATGCTCCACAACAAGAGCTTCTCGATTGTGTACAGGTGTAAAGTTCCTAGGCACCATGAGAGGAGCTTAAAGGTCTCGTTGAGGCGTCTGAGGAGTAAGAGACCGCTGTCTGGCTTTCTTACAATGGTTGTTACAGGTGGACAGGTCCTTGTGAGGATGTCACTCCCAGGTATCTTTGAAATTTTTCCACACCTCTTTCCACTCAGAGCCACAGGATAGTGGAGTGGATGGAAGTTCCCTCTTCATGCTGTTCCTTAGTTTTGCTGGACTTCAGGCCAGGGAGGTGGGTTTTCTCCCGGACACCATCCTCCAGGTGGGGAGACACTCCCTCCTGTAGGCTGTACTCATCGTCGTGGAGATTATCCTACAAACCAAGCGGTTGTTGCCAGCAAAACTTGATTGGATGATGGTTGGAGTCCTGACGTGCTCGCAGCCTGTGTGTACAGCTGATATAAAGCAGAGCTGAGGGCACAGCAACCCTGGGGGGGATCCAAGTGTTGAGGAGTCAGGGGGCTAAGTGTAGTGACCCACTGCCAACCAACGCTGTGTGGTCTGCCGTTAGGAAGTTGTACGATCCACTACACAGGAGGAGTTCCAGGACCCAGATCAAGGCAAGTTTTGGGGGACAGGTCTGGAGGGGACGTATAAGTATAGAATGGCTGAGCTGTAGTTCAGTCAACAAACAGCACTCTCACATCTAACTGCTGGTCCTACACACTGAACTCTTATAGTGCATCTTAAATTAGTAGGTCAACCATGGGAAACTAAAATGAATGACTGCTGTGATGGTTTTAGGTCTCTATGTGGCAACTGTGCTTTAAGATATTGTAACAGTAACACTTGAGAGCACATGTTAACTCACATTATGGGTACAACACTGATACAATTGGTTTGAGTATGAGGTTTAAAATATCACAGCTACATAATGTGTGCATTATTCACTTATATTGATTTGATTTGTGTGTATGATTTCTTTTTGATATTGTGTTGTTTAACAGGCTTTCTCTTCAAAGAGGCTATATAGACTCACCAAGCTCTACAAAACAAAGCACTGAAATATTTATGTACAGGTTCAGTACAGACTAGTACACCTGACCATTGAACGCACCAGTCTGCAGCATCATCCGGACAGTATTTGGCCAGCAGGGCGCTCCCTTCAATTCGACAGTTTGAGCTTGGGCAAACAGTGGCCAGAAGCCAGAGCTTGGGCAACCAATAATGGTCTGGTGTATTTGGGTTTGTCCCCCTTGGTGGTGCTGGTAGTTCAAAGAGTCTGGACACAGTTCACACAGCTTGGTACTTTTTCACACCTTTTGTGAAATGTTTGTGGATCTTTTTCCAAGTTTGTGCCCTCTATGAGCACTTTGGACCTTTGGGAGGCTGCTGCATGTTCCATCTTTTGGCAGTCAGTTAATAGCGGGGGTGCTGGATGTTATTCTCGCTCCCACATACAGCCAGTGAAGACCAGTGTGCTGGACAGATCTGAGGTGGGGAAGTCACAGTCTCTACTCATTCTCCTACACAGTGTAAGACACTTCCCCCCCCCCCCTCCCTTTGTCCATGGTTCAAATAGGTGTTGGTATGTGAGTGGTACTATATATTCAGGAAAAAAGCAGCTCTATCTGGTCCTTGAGATTGGTTGTGCTGGAAAACGCTGTCCACCTTTGGATTACATGTCTCTAGTTATTTTATGCTACCATAGGATCAGTGTTTGTATTACGCCTGGGGACCGATATGAATTTGTGGTGGTCAGTCATGTTGCGTTAACGTTAATTTGCCTTCTCGGCCTGAAAGTAGAGGGGTGGCGAACAGTCAGGCCAAGGTCATCTGTCACAGCAAGTAGTGTCTGGGAATCTACCCCCTTTAGCCTACAGAGCCCTTTGAAAGACAAAGCTGTTGTGAAATAGAATAAATGTTACACAAGGTGACCCTAGCACTGTGAGCGTATACAGAACACTCTAACCTTGTTTTCCTGCTACACCTCCAGTTGATGACTTGATGGCTGATGGGTACAATGGCCAATATAAGAGGTTGGCAGGGTTCTGTTAATTGGCCGAACTATTACATGTAAATTCTAGTATGCAGAAGTGAGCTCCACCTGCGACCACCTATAGATCTAAGGTTATAATGTGTAATCTTTGTCTGATTCAGCAACAGTTAACTTGAATCAGCCAAGTAGAAATGTTTTATCTTCTTCTTCTCTTTATCTTAGTCTTTTACACACACACACACACACACAAACACACACACACCACACACACACACATACAGTATATGCAACCTAGGTGGCCACAGGCCCTGGTTAGAGATTTGATCCTACACTGCCCTCTATTGCTCATTTCCAACTTCTTGTTTGACAGCAGTTTTGAACAAATCTCCCCAGAGTTGTGTGTCAGCACAGGAAAAAGTTGCACCTGAAACAATATTTGAGAAAAATTATCACAATGCCGGCAAAACTGTAGAGTAGTGGGGTGATAGGAAAGCATTTGCTGCTACTTGCATAAAATTGCTCCTATGTTTAAGACTAAGTAATTCTCCAGGATTCAAGGACTCTGGATGTGGCAAAGGGATAATGGAAGGAAATCAGAGTCATCTAGAGTAGAGTTCATTCAACTCATACGCCAGTCTCAGTAAGGATTTATAAAACAGCAGACTGATTTTTAATACTTTATTCCTTTTGGTCAGTACACACGCTCTTAATACAACAGCTATAAGATGATTAGATACTGCTTTAGTCTTTGACCTGGAACTAAAAAATCAGCCAGGTCAGTTTTAGCTTAACAATTTCTACTGGAGAGCTTGATAAAGACAGTCATTCTAACAAAACAAGTTTTTAGCTAATAATGCATCATGAGTTATTTTAGGTTCCCTAAATGAGTACTGATGAAGAGAAAATGGGTGGTCCCATGTTTCTTTGGCAAGGTCATTTTTTGTGTAACATATTTTTCAGTGTCTACTCAGTATTTCACACAATTATTCCTACATCATCTCTGTGGGTTACTTTACATCTTACTGACCACAACATGGGCAGATGGGCTGTATTTGCAAAGGACCCATTGGACACTAATCAAAGAGACATATGCTTTATGTTTGTGATGTCAGGGGTCTGGGTCCAAAGTTCTTATTTTTCTCTAAAAACTCTTCAATTTCATCTTATTTATCAAAAAAGAACACCGACTTTTAATCAAATGATGTCCTCTGGATTGACAGATGGCCCTGACAGAAGCCAGTTAACTGACTTATTGTTGTTTTTTTCTCTCAGAGGTCAGAGTCCTGAAACGTCAGAGCTTAACTTCCTCCAGAAGGCTCAGATGCTGGAAACATACGGAGTGGACCCTCACCCATGCAAGGTACAAAACAAATGTATTCTGTAACTTTGAGCTTGAGTTCTGATGTAATTTGATGAGTAATTTGTGTTAGTGTGCAATTATATTCTAAAATAACAAAAAAATGGGTTTGTGTGCCTTTCAGGATGTGTCTGGCAACCCAGCTTTTCTGGCTTTTACTCCTTTTGGATTCACTGTGCTGCAAGGAAATCGGAGGATCCATTTACTCAAATGGCGAGTACAGACTGGACATGATGCCAAATAATAACCATATTTAAATTAAATTATTGTATATGCATGCCCACATTAGTGAGCAAGACTTTGTAGCTGTTTGTGTATAGAAAAATAAATCCCAAAAGCTCCATATGCAGGCAGAGATAAATATTTAAACATGCAATGAAATAGAAAAATGTTCATGAATATACATCCTCCATTAATTAACAGCTTGTACAAAGTACCAGCAAACCCAGCAAGCTGCTTAACGGAGTCGAAGTCCAAATTTTAAAGTTTTATGTGATCTAGTACAACTTTGCTACGCTCTTCTAAATAACAGAAGTGCTTCAGAACATGTTGGTTAAAGTGCCAGCAAAGGAAAAGGAAAATGCTAAAATTACTCCAAAGAACATAATCTAAGTCTTCTGAAACCAAAGTATTAAAATTGTTGTTCCAAGCATTTGTTTCGTTGTCTTCTAGATTTACATTCTTTATCTTACATGGATGTAAAATTACAATACACCCTATAGTTATTAAAGTAGTTCCACATATCTTATATGCAACTTGATAATAAAGGATGGTGTTTGCATACAGCTTTCATTTAAAATGATGAGCTGCCATTTTTGGAAGCTTTATTACATGTACAAGCAGTAGGGACAACAACTCATTTATCTGCTACTACTGAAATGTGAGGTCCAAAAGAAGCAAAAAGTAACCAGCGATTCATTCAATTTGGTATTTTTTTCAAAACAGCCAAGTCAACCAGCTGTAAATCAGCATGTTGAGACGTTTTCAGAGTCTGAGTTGTTTAGAGTTTTGTTGTAGAAATCTGTTTTTTTAATCTATTGCAGCTTATTCTTATACATTTCTGTGACTGGAATCAATGTGTCTAGACTTTTCAACGGAGAAATTAAATACTGTTGGCCTTATTAATTTGCCTCCAGCCACAATTAATATTTTACCACCTTTATCCATTTCTGTCTCTCCTTTCTTTCTCTGTCTTTTTCTCTGTTCTTTGTTCTTTCCTCTTTTTCTTTATTCTGCTGTCCCACTTTGTCTTCTTCTGTTTCCTTTTCTCATCATTGTCCTCTCTGTCTGTCTGTTATATCTTAAACCTAGGGAGGAAGTGACCAAACTCAAGTTTGAAGCAAAGACATTCCATATATATGCAAATCAGAAGGAGGTATGTGCATGCATTATTAAAACGTTGCCTTTTCCAGCCTGTGGAGCTCAGGAAGTTAAATGAGCCCTGTTTTATGCATGGAGACACTGCCATTGGGGAGCTAATGTAATTTATCCTTGATAGTGAAGTAAACGGGAAATGATTTGACAGAAATGTCCATTAACCATGGGATTTTGCAGACAAAAGAGCAAAGTAAAACCATTGTCTTTGAGTTGGTTATTATACTGAATGTTCTACAGATCCAGAGGAACTATTCTTTTTTGGCTTGTATCATGTATGTATGTTATTGTGCTGGACTTGTTACAGGATAAGAAGATCATACTGACATACTTTGCACCTACACCTGAGGCCTGTAAACATCTGTGGAAGTGTGGCGTCGAGAACCAGGCCTTCTACAAGTGAGTCACAAGACCAGATACACAAAACTGCAGAAAAGACCTCCTTACATGTATGTTTATGATGTTTTCTCTCCTATTTTACTCAAAGGTTGGAAAAGTCGAGTCAAGTCCGCACTGTGTCCAGTAGTAATCTGTTCTTCAAGGGTAGTCGCTTTAGATACAGGTATTGAATGCCCACAAAGTATTTGTACATTTGTAAAAATGCTGACCTACTGCAGGACATATGGTGTTGCAGTGCTTGTTTTAGTGCTCACAGTTTGTATAAATACATAGTTAACATATTTTCTTCTTTTATGTTTCCTCAGTGGAAAGGTTGCAAAAGAGGTAATGGAACAAAGTGCCAAAATTAAGAGAGACCCCCCTGAGATACACAGGTCAGAATTCTTGTAAAATATTGCCCTAAAATGATCTGAAATGTGGATTAACAATAATGTATGCATTTAATGTTTATGTATGTCATGTGTCATGTGTGTCATTGTCCAGAGCCGGTATGGTGCCAAGTAGGAGCTGTCCATCCATTACCCACGGCCCTCGTTTGACCAGTGTGCCCAGGACCCGACGGAGAGCTGTGCACATCTCCATCATGGAGGGTAAAACACACACTCAAAAGAAAAGAGAAATACTGCAAAGAAACGGTGGCTGACGAGAGGTCACAGATGATTACTGTAATTGTGTTGATTAAAACTAGTTCAACCATTTCTTACTTTTAGCCATGTATACCATTTATCCAAACTTTTAGCTATTTCAGTGCATTACCTTTATCGCACTATATCTATGCTTTTATCTAACTGGTCAGACTGTACTCTTAAGCGCAAGTGCACTGAAAAGCAGAACAGTCTACATAATGAGTCAAGCTGTAGTACAGGAAACAGTTTGACTCATTATGGAGATTTAAAAAAATAAAATCTTAATTTCCATTTTTCAAATTAATTGAGCAACTCCACAATCTTTCCACATACCCCTTGGCAACAGCAGGAGTGCCCCCTGAGATAGAAGTGGAATGGGTTTGGAATCACTTTCTAAGTCCTCATGACTTGATCTGCTGTGGATTACACACCTTTTTAACGCTCTCACACAATTTTTTTTTTTTTTAATACACTTACACACATACACACACACACACACACACACACACACACACATATCACGTTGAAAATATGACCACAGCAGATAAAAACACATTCTGAATGAACATTAAAACATGATGTTTACTACTCAAATACAAAGGAAACATGAGGTAACTCTGGACCGCATCTGGAACCACAGTGCTGTCTTGCTTCTCTGTTTCTACCGCCTGATTCGATATTCAAATTATTAATACATGAGTGGGTTGCACTCCTTTCCTCCAAAAAAAGCAGAGTTTACTTTATTCATGATAGAGACACAGATAAACTACAGGAAAAATGATTCAGCCAAAAAGGACAAATTACCTCGGAGTTAAGAGGTCCTATTGACGATATGAGATATATCTAAAACCTGAGAGCTGTGGTGAAGTGCTTGAGAAGGAGATTCTTGCTGAAGG